ATTATCTAAACCAATTCTCCAATTATACCTCTTCAGCCAAATATGGATGGGGCATTATTTACTTTGAGTTAGAAAATCATGTTTAAAATTAGTACAATTTTAATAAAAATTGCATCAGAACTTCGAAAAACAGAAAGAAAAAAAGGGATAAGATGGAACGTTGACCACTTTGATAGACTTTTATATAAACTTATACTTGGATGGGTAAAACATGAAACTTAAAGAAATTAGGCAAGTTAACTTGATAAGGGATTACAGCCACTGAAATTCAAAAATTGAATGATCTCAATATTTTGCAATTCACAACCAAGAGGTTAGAAGTCATTTATGATGATGCAAGCGTCATCGTATACATACCGTGACAAAGCCACTAGTCGAAGACCAAGGTTCAGATGTCCATGTGTTTGTCTCCCAGAGATAAAATGTTCCATCACTAGATGAAAGAAAATGATTAGCAACAGCTCATGAAGTGGATCAGAGTACTATCCAAATGCAATATGTGTGTGTTAACTTGAGTTATGGCCATACAATTTTGCAGCAAAAAAGTAATCTCCAGTAGGTGACCATTTTAGTAACGATATGCCTCCTAATCCACGTCGAATGGGTGTCCCCAGACCTATAAATTGCAACAAAACAAGACAGATTGAGGGAGGTTTTAGAAACCAAAAATCTTTGGTGAAGCAATATCAAGCACAATAACACGTAAGCCTATCCCAACTAGTCTGAGATTGAGGTTTATTTGTAATTGTTGTGATACACAGGGCTCAGGGAGTATAAGCATGCAAAAGAGTTGACCAATCCTTTCAATAGTAGTCAAAATTGCTCGATCTTTTAATGTCATTGATTTTTGTCATGAAAATTTGGCCAAATAAACTCAACTTAGTCTTTAAATACCAAGCACGTGGGACCTAAGGCCCTCAAATGCTTAACCATCAGATTTTCACCTCATCATATGTCATGAGTTTGTAATTATTTAAAAGCAACTTTAAACTATAAGCATGGGGGACACATATGAGGGCACAAGAATGTCCATAAAACAGCACTGAATGCATAATGTAATCAGGTTAGTTCCACACACATGATAATATATCCATGTCTGGGGTCTATGTATGAAGCCAAACATCAGGAAAAAAATCATACTATTTTCTTTCAGCTAGAGATTTGAAATAGCCTCCTTAAAAACTAATTGATGTTAACCATGGCAATTTAAGAGGTCAAGATTGTCCACATACCTTGTGAGACATCCCATATGGTGAACGAAGAGCTCTCACATGATGCAGATGCCAAATATGTGAAGCTAAGTCAAGGAAATTTAATCTCCTTTAAAAACAGAAACTAATCTGAAATGATGAAAAGACATACCAAATAGATACTAAATTTCGGAGCTGACAAATTGTAGAAAATATTAAGGATCTTACGACTGGTCTCAGAGAAGTAAAGCTTGCAAATTGGTTCAGAAAAATAGCTACCATGTAAAACATATGATAAAATCATGAGCAGGTGTAAAAACTTCAAGGCTACAAGATCTGCTATGATTTTGGTCTGAAATGCAAATTTTTCTGATTATTTTAAAAAAAAAAAAACACTTTCAAACTTCAAATTTAAATTGATCAGGATATCTTCCATCAGGACTCCATGATATTGCACTTGTTTGCTCATCACTGTGACTACGAAGAAAATCTACTAGAGTCCATCGACCTCCAGAGCCTCTAGTAAGAGTTCCCAAGGAGGAAGCAGCACCAGCCCTCACAGTGGCTGGATTACCTGGATAAGAAGCAGCCCATATGCAGATTCCACCCCTGGAATCCAGTCCAACAACCGAGAAAATACAGAGACTTAATGCCTTGTAAAAGAAATGCATAAAATTGACTATCGCAATACAATGACAGAAATTTCAATTTTGATACTTGCTTGCATGCTACAGAAAGTGATTTTCCACCATTTGGTCTCCACTCAAGAGCCCTAATATCTTGTTGAGCCCCATTGCTTAAAACACAGGCATCCTTCCCTTCTGTTGAAAAAAATCAACACAACATCTCTCAAACTCTTTAAAAAGGCCTTTCCCCTTAACATGACTGCTCCTTTAAATCATTAAAATCTTGTACCATAAAACTGCTTACCTGAATCTTCATAATCACGAACTATAACCTGGTTCGGACCTGAAATAAATGCAATAATATGTCTATGCTGGTGCCAACTCACTCCTTGAAGATCAATCTCCGGTAACAAGTGTACCTATACCACTTACAACTTGAGAATGCAGAACTACAACATATCAACCCTCTCACTCACTACTTCTCATTCAAAAACTTCTAAAAACTGTTACATATAATCACCTAATTTCCCATTTGCACTATGTTCCACTACTAATTACACAATCAAACAAAAGTAAAAGATTAAGGTGTTATTATTAGCTTACACAATTAGGATAAAACATGCGCTTGATGGAGTCATTAACAAGGCATTGCAATGATTTCATCAAACCTTTCCTCTCAACACTCTCCCCATTGTTTCTTTCCTGGTGTTCAGATTCCTGATTTTCGCCAGTCGATCCCAACAGCTCTGGTTGAAACGGAATTGGACTGAACACCATTCCCTAAGCATCATTAAATCCACAAAATCAAAACTTTCAATATCAAAACACAATAAAACCAAAACCATTTTTTATTAACAAAAAATAAAATCAATTTATTGCAAGAAAATAAAAAATCTGAATCTTTCCATTGGTTCAATTCTATAAAAGATCAAGACTATTAATAGAAAAAAGCATAAAATAAAAGAAACCCATTTTTATAAACACAAAATGGAAAGCAGTTTACTAGAATTTTTCCATAAGCATCCTTGGCTCGATCATCAGAGATGGCTTCAGCTACAACTGCAATGTAGAGCAAATACATTTACAAAGATTCAACCTTTGGAAAAAACAAACCAAAAATGTATGCTTTAAAAGGGTGAGAGGGAGTACTTAGGGTTCGATTGATTTCGCAGATGGTGACTGAGCCTTGCAGTGGAAAGGAAGGCATGGTTTTGGGGAGGAAGCAAGGGCGGTTGAATCAGTGAGTTGGGGAATCAAGTTATTGAAATTTGGGGTTTAGGGATTTTGTTCAGTCTTTCACAGTACAGAAGTTCTGTGAGATTTTGGATCCTTTTAGTTGTTGTTTTTTTTTTTTAAAAAAAAAACAAAATTTAATGTTATTTTGTGTACAGAGGGCAATGAATTTCTTTAAAAAAAAAAAATCAATTTCATAACCTGCTCGTAGCATGAGCCTCAAACAAAAGCCCAAGAGCATGCTATTATATTATTCTTTAGTCCCTGTTTTCATAACATGGTTGTAACTTAGTCCCTCTTTGATCAAAACTTCAATGTTGTTGCAACTTGCATCCACTTTAATTCTATAGTCCTTGATTTCAGTGTATTCGTTATTGTGATTCAATTCACTTCTCAATATTTTTTAAATTATTTTTTTGAAAAATAATTAAATTAATGTTTTAAATTTTTTTATAATTTTCATATAATATTTTAAAAATATTAATGTCAAAAAAGTTTTTAAAAAATATTATCTTAATATATTTTTATTTTAAAAAAACTTTATAAAAATATTATATATTACATTACCAAGTACTTATTACTATCATGAGAAGCGGTATGGTACTCACGAATCACACAAAAATTTTAATATATATATATATATATTATTGTGCTTTAAAATGGATAGAATCTATTCTTACTAATCTAGCATTTTTTTCTCCATATTTTTTTCATTCTCATATTTTCTTAGAGACAAAAAAACAACCTTTTTTTAAAATAATCCTAACCTAATAATAACCATAGAAACTGATTGAGATCACATAAAATTTATCAAATATTAATTATTAGTTAATAATTCAAATTAACCCGGATAATTTAATGTTAAGAAATAATTAAAAAATATATTATTTTAATAATAAATAACTAGAATAATATTGTTAATTCCATTCCAGTTGTCATTCCTTTTTTTTAATTAAAATAATATATTTTGATTTTAAAGTATTTCACCGTATTATTTTGGAGTTGTAATATATATACATATACATATACATATACATATATATATATAAAATAACACAAAAAATAACCTTTCAAAAAAAAATTATAAAAATACCATTGACATTCTTACAAGACTTTTCTAAATTTTTGTTGTCCTAAAAAATTGACTTAAGATTTTTCATAAAATGTTTAATCTAATGGTTAGATTAGGAGATATAATTAATATCATAAAATTAAATAATATTTTTTTAAAATAAAAAATATTATTTAATCAAAACAAAACTGAAATGTTCGAGGTGGAATTTGGGTGGAATTTCTGGAATGCATCAAGATTTTGAAAAAAAATAAAATTTATTCTGATTTATTTTATTTTTTAAACTAAAACAAGATATACCACCAATTTAAACAACACAAATGAAATAGACAATTTAAATTAAACTAGATTAATATGACGAAAGATGATTGTTTTCAAGATTTGGTCAGGTCAAAAAGTAAAGGAAATTAAAAAACAAATTGCTTGATTCTCTCTTCATTCATCAATGCCTAGTTTTAGTATGTATCTGTGATGGTAATGTGAAGTGATTTTTTAAATAATTTTTTGATTGATATTTTAAAAATAAAAAACATTAAAAAAAATATTTTTAATAATAAATATATTTTAAAAAAATATTTGAAAACAGTTTGAAATGAAATAACATGTAACCTTTAAAAAGTTTGAAGCTGGACAAACCCAAAAATTAAAATGAGGTGAGAAAAACTCTGGCATAACCCTAGGAGGAAGATAAACTCTTTATTTTTGTATTTTAAAAGTTTTTTAAAAAATATTTAATTTTTTTTTATTTTTTATTAATTTTAAATTAATATATTTTCAATATTTTTAAATTATTTTGGTATATTAATATTAAAAATAATTTTTTTAAAATAAAAAATATTATTAATAAATATTTTAATACAAAAAAATTTTGAGCTCTTGAAAGCTCAAGCTCCAAAGACCTCTCACTCTATCCCCTTCTCAAACATAAGAGGAAAAGAAAAAATGAACCTTTCGAAAATCAGCAAGCATCGCTGCCTATTACAGTTCAGAATCCACATAAATCCTCAAGAAACAAACCTTCCGAAAATCCCTTTTGGTCCTTTCAATTTATTCATCCAAAGAAGATGGAAAAAGCCAGCAAACACAGCACAAACTCGGTTAGAATCAAGAACCATAGATTCCAAACTCAACAGACTAACAACATACCTCAAGAAACTCAAAACCATCCTCAAAATCTACGAACTCATGTCAAATCGAAAGAGGGGTCCTTTTGTATCCCTGCAGTTGATGTCCAGATGGACAAATATAGTGGGGCTGAATGTAGGTATGGGTGAGTTTGTGCATAAGCACCCCCATGTGTTTGATGTATTTACACACCCGGTTAATAGGAATTTATGTTGTAGGATTAGTGGGAAATTCAAGGGTTTGGTGAGTGAAGAAGAGCGTCTTGTGAAAGATTGTGAATTGGAGTGTGCGAAGAGAGTTAAAAGGTTGTTAATGATGTCTAAAAACGGGAGACTTCATGTTCATGCTTTGAGGTTGATTAGGAGAGAATTGGGATTGCCTGAGGATTTTAGGGAGTCAGTTTTAGGGAAGTATAAGGAAGATTTTAGGCTGGTTGATTTGGAGATTGTTGAATTGGTTGATAAAGATGAGAACTTCGGGGTGGCTGAAGTTGAGAAATGGAGAGAGAAAGAGTATAGAGAGAAGTGGTTGAGTGAGTTTGAGACGAAGTTTGCATTTCCTATCAATTTCCCTACGGGGTTTAAGATTGAAAGGGGGTTTAGAGAGAAGTTGAAGAATTGGAAAATGCTTCCTTATTTGAAGCCTTATGAGGGAAATGAGGTTGTTCAGGTGGGCGCTTGTGGTGGGAAGAATAGATATGAGAAACGGGCGGTAGCAATGATTCATGAGTTGTTGAGTTTGACAGTGGAGAAGATGGTTGAGGTTGAGAGATTGGCTCATTTTAAAAAGGATTTTGGTATGGAAGTGAATGTGCGCGAGTTGTTATTGAAAAATCCTGGGATTTTCTATATATCAACTAAGGGAAGCACTCATACTGTTATTCTTAGGGAAGCATATAGTAAAGGTTGTTTGATTGAGCCAAATCCGATTTATGTTGTTAGGAGGAAGATGTTGGATCTTGTATTGCTGGGTTGTAGAAACACAAGAGAGTTGCAAGCTGAGGAAGAAATTAAGAACGGGAGTGACAGTCTCATTAGGAAAGCATTTGCTGGAAATACAACAGTTGGCGAGTGGGTTGTCCCAATTTCAGAGAGTTTTGACAATGTGAATGACCATGATGATCCAGCTGAAATCATTGATGCATCAGAGGAGTTTGATGGATGCTAGGAAAATTGAAGCGGTGAAAATGACGAATGAGCTAGGGGATGATACAAAATAAGCATATGGTGACTTTACATTCATTATCCAAGATGTAATTCCGTGGACTGTTTGAACTCCAACAAGGTTGCCGCGACAAGCAGTTTATAAATGGACTAATTTCACACAGTACACCAACACATCCTTTTTGTAACACCGCATATTATCAGTTTAACACTTTCTTCCTCCTTTGTCAGGGGAAAGGAGTAGTATCGTGTAGCATTCCAGAAGGTCTAAGGGACAGAATGTTCGCCTTAAGTTGCATCACAGTCTTACGAGATATGCAGCAGTTTGAAAATGCAAGTACTCTGATCGAAAATGATGACTGAAGGCAAATAACTAGTGTTAAAGAGGATGCATAGGTTTCTTCTCAGACATGCTAAGGGTCCCGGGAGCTAACTGCGAGGATGAAATGTTATTGGTTGCTTTAAAGATGATCAGGCTGGAATTATGGACAAGCATTCAAGGGATCAGGGGATTAAAGCATTTAGACGAGGGGCGGGGTGGAAGCATGGCTCTGTCTCTGAAGTCTTAACACAGATCTTTATGTGGTGCTGATAGTGATTTTGCTTATTGATGCGTGAAGTCTTATTGTACCATGGACATGACTGGCACCGGATGGGGCTGGTTGAGTTTCTTTTTTTTGGTTTCCTTTTATTCTCCCCCGCAAAGAGTACAGTTTTCAACGCGCCGGTACATTCTTTTTCTGTAACGTGCTTCATTTTTGTAAACGTTCTTGGCATCAATTTAATACTTTCTTCTATTTTTCGTGAGGGACAGAAGTAGTTTGGTGTAGCATTGTAGTCTTTATCGGATATGCAGCGATATGACAATGGTTGGACAATCTGAAGAATTGAAGATATGAAGTCCAGGTGCTGGGGTGAATAATGATGGTGAAGAGAGAATTGCAGCACAATGATCCATACGCTTCTTCTCCAATCTCTGTCATTGTCGTGCCAGGTAGTGTGTAGTGTTTAATTAATGTCAGGAGACAACTGGAACATAGGGAAGGTGGAGATTATTGTCAGGAGACAATTGGAACATAGGGAAGGTGGAGATTAGCTTTGTTTAGTGGTGGTGTACAAGAAATTGATTCTAATTGATGGAATAACCTCTTATGCTTTTTTTTCTTGGGTACAATATAGTACAATAGAAAGACCAACTTCATAGAAGACGATTCCCAATCTTATCAGCTAGCAAAAACCATGTGAGCTCGGGAGGACAGGTGGTGATTCCAATCATGCATTGCAGAATCAAAACCTAAACCCAAATGGGTGTTTGTATAGTCTGCACACTGGTAACCTTCTTAAAGAACAGGTATGAGCTTATATTAACCATCCTTTTTACAGAAAAGCTAGAACAAATGAGGGTGGCAAGAGCTAAAGGTTTGCAAATGCACTTGATGGCTTCCATGGAATCTAATCTGCCACCAAACAAAAACAGTCCAATTTTTTAGCCAGCAAGTTGCCCTGCTAAATGCCCCACGATTCGGCTATCGTGTTAATTGCCAAACCAATATAACCTGAGGAACCCTTAAACCAATTCCCAAGTGGTCCCAAATCTGTTAAATTTTCCTAGAAAACACGCATCCATCACGGTGCATTTATCATCATCGTTGACAATCACCAAAAAGCTCTATACGTTAATTACACACTCAAAACATAACCATAGGACCAGCACAAATCGTTTGTTTCTGCCATGCAAGTGTACCAAGCAATATTGCACACAAAGCCAAAACAAAATTAGAATGTTGAGCTTACCATTCCTAACATTACAAATATTTAATCAATACCAACACGACAACAATTAGAATGACAATAGCAATGACCAGAAAGATCCAGCAAGCACAGCCACTTTTGGTGCGTTTGTTCAGAAAAGCCAAATTCCTTTGAACTCTCTGTTCCAAATATAACCAACATAGGCATCAGGTGAAAGGGACAGTTACCTTTCAGGCAACCATAAATTTATGCATAAGATTATCAAAAGACACTTAAAAATCATCTCCTTCACACAGTAAAAGCCCTTAATCAATAGTTAGTTTTATTGCTAATGAAATACAAATTTATAACAATTAATTGTGAACCGCCAATCTAAAGATCGGAAAACAAACCTGCATACGGGAATTCGTTACATCCACGTGCTCGTCTAAGTCATCCTGAATAAAGAAAAGGGAATATTGTGTTATAGGTTGCAATCAACTTAGCATGTTATAGGACGGTGAAAATGCGACATTATAAATAGAATAAATGGGGAATAAATAAAAAACACCAACCAGAAGCCTAGTGTGTAGGGTAAGTTCCTCGTTGACGGCCAATGCAATGTGTTTTGTACTTGTCACCGTCTCATCCAATTTCTCAAGGCCTTCATCTTGTTCTGTTTTTTACGTAAAACAAGTTATGAATCAGCATTACATAATCAGAAAACCACAGAAGCCCTAAAAAAAATAGTTGTTAGAGCATGCCTCTCATGGTTTGCCGTTGAAAACCAACAAGGCCCTGGCTGTCCAAGCCAGATGCTCTATTTATAATATCATCTGTCTTGCTATCAGACCCAAGCAAGTTCTCTCTGTTAGCAGCACCGGCCATTTTGAGAGCAGTAGACATCTGGTTAACTTTTGTACTCAGATTTTTCAGCATCTCTTGACGCCGATTTATCTCTTTCCCTGATCTGGTTTTGAAAACAGCAGTCAAAGATTTCTATCACATTCAGGAAGACAGCAGCAACAAATTATGGCTAGCATATCACACAGACAAAGGTTCTCCACCCTCCACCCTTGCGCTTACCTATAAATGACTCGTTCATCTCATTTTGGTAAAGTATACGTTGAAATATCAACAAATGAAAGGATTTCCACTCCTCAATTGTAGAATACTAAGTATCTGCTACTATATTCGATCCTCCTATGAAAAGGGTTTTCTTAACAAACGTGGATGAGCATTGAACAAGCAAAAACTTCCATAAAACAAAATGAAAAAAGAAAAAGAAACAAACACTTTATATTACATTAAAATCTGAAGAAACACGAGTACCCCACTCATTTAGCACTGTCCTAGCTCCTCAAAAGGTTAACATTAAGATTAAATTTTAAAAACAACCCATGAAGCCTTCACCAAAACTTTAGAAGAAATGAAAAAACAAAAAAAGGATTGCTGATACATTATCATCTAAACTAACACAACTGCTTCACTCATCGAACACTGTCCTAGCACCTTAAGATTAACACTAAATGTGAAAAACAACCACCACCTAAACATTCACACTCAAAAAAAAAAAAAAGACAAGACACTCACAAATATAAAACAAGATTCCATAACCATACAAAGGAACCCTTTACACATAATGATGGAAACACTTACATTGACTGTTTGCTTGGAAGTGCTGACAAAAGGGACTGCAGAATATCAAGTTTGGTTGTCAAAATAGTGGCCTTTCTCCGTATCGCAGAGAGATGTCGCTGTGTTTCTGGTCCAGATTGAGGCAAAGAATTCTTTCCAGAAATCATATCACTAATTTCATCACCAAGTTTTGATGCTTCATTGAATTCTTGCATCCATGATTCTGATGGCGATGCCATTTCCCCTACAATAAAATCTCAACTTCCAATTTAATCGAAATGGATCCAATTTTCACGAAATATCTTCAGAATTCCCATTTCTTATTAAATAAAATTTCTAAGTCTTCTTGCTATCAGAATTGAATTCAATTGGTAGCTAAATTTCTAAATGAATAAAGCACTTTAAAAAAATCCAAACAAAACCCATAAAAGATAATCAATTTGTTGTTCGTTTATGACTTACCTTAGTAAAAACGACCAGGGAGTGATGATTTTTGAGAATTGAGAAATATTTCTACAGCTTAAAGCTCTGTTCGTGTAGAGAAAATGAAGACTTGCCTGTGTTTAGCCGTACAAATTGATCTGGAGTTTCTAAACTAAGAAGAGGGGCAATGTTGTAAGAAATCAGAATTCTATCGCAAAAAAAAAAAAAAGTTGGTCTTATCAACATGTTTTTAAATATTAAGTAAAAATATAATGATGAATTAAAAAATTAATATTAATATATAATAAAAATTATATGTAATAACATATAAAATTTTAAGTTAATTCTTAACATAACAAAGAATAAAATAATATTCAATTTTTTTATTAAAATACTATTTTATTAATCTTTATATAATATTTTTTAAAATTTACAATAATAAAAATATTAAGTATAAAAGAATAAATAAAAAATTATTTTTTTAAATAAAACTCAAAAATTATAATTTTATCAAAAACTATATTATGTTACAAAAAAAAATTAACAAAATTTATAACTATATTATTTTTAGATAAAAATATTTTTATTTTTAGTGTATATATAATAAAGAGAGACAGAAAAAAACACAGAGGAGCAGCTAAGGCGGGCCTCTCCACTTGCGATAAAACATGAATTATCCATTAGTTATTTAGTTATTGATGTACACTCGAATCTTGAAAATCCGTACAAGTTAAATTGAATTTGATGATGAAAATCGATATAACTTTTAATTAAATTATTGGATTGAAATAAAATTGTACGAGTGTATTCTATAAATTTAATGAATCAATTATTATATTAAGGTTGTTTTTATGTTCAAATTAGATTTAGAAATTATTGTTTTAAAAGTTTGTCATTTTTTCATTTCTTTTTTAATTAGGATTTAATTTAAATTTTATTTAATTAAGGATTTTATTAGTTAAATCAATTAAACTTACTATTTAAAATTTGTATATGTCATTAACATATAATTAATAACATTCGTAGTTTATTAAATCAAAATTACATTGTATACAGTTTAGCTGTAATTTTAAGATTTTTAAAATTCTTTGTTACTTTTCAATATATATATATATAATTGTGCAAGATGCACAGTCGATCTCTTCATATGGCATTATTGATGGACTGTTCACAATGTTTTTTTTTGTTTCTTTTTTTTATATATATAATTTGGCTTTTATTGAAACAAATTATAGGCTAATTTGTTGGAAAAGGGTATAATTGAAAGATGGAGGATCTAAATGAAAAACACTGAAGAAATGAGTGGCTTCAATAAAGTTTGGGTGAAATATTTATTTTAATCTTTGTACTTTTCAAATTATTAAATATTGGGTCTAAAGGCAAAATCAATTTTGATTCCAAATTTCATTTGCTTTATGTTTTTGTTCCTAATTTGAGAGAGGTTAAAGAAAATTGTTGGAACCGAACACTACAGGTTGAAAATTTTTCTTGTCACTAATTCTAGCCATAAATACAATTAATATTGGTATCAAATTATTTCATTTAATGAGCAGAATTCACATTAGATATTTTTTATCTTGAATTTGCTTAAAAAACATATCTAAACTTAACAAGATTTTTTTTATTTTATGTTGATTTTGGGTTTTTTGATGATATTTTGGGTTTTTTAAGCCATATATAGGTATATTAAATTGCATAGGATATTTTTCTAGATATTTTAAGTAAAAAAAGATTAAAAATAAGTTTTTAGATTTAAAAAACTTCTGCATTGATTTTTTCGTCGCCATAATAGCTGGAAATTATACAATATTGATATGTTCTCTATCGTTTGATTTTCTTTTTTCAAAAACAAATGAGGCAAACAACATGTCTAAAATAAATAAATAAAAATTAAAAGCATAAGACTGCAAGCTTACACTTACAAGTCCATGCACGAGCCTTTATTTGATGGCCAAAGGCATTGACTTAGTTTGTCGAGCTAAATGTTTAATCTTTAAAAATAAGTAAATATTTTTTTATTTAATATTTTTTTTATATTTATTTTTTTAAAATAAATTTTAAATTTATATTTAAATTAATACACATTCTCTATTTTATTTTGTTTATGTAGTCTCTTTTAAATAATAATTATTTTTTAGTTATTTTGTATGTATTTAATTTCTTTAAAAGATTGTTCTAATTCATCTATATTTTTATGTTTTTTATATAAAAAAATTATTTTAAAAAATAAATAATATTTATTTTTAAATAATATTTTTAATACTTTTTTTTATTTAATCAATTTTATTTGTGTCTAATTTTATCATCATTTAATTAAATAAAAAAATATTTTTTTTGAACAAAATTATTGAATGCAATTGCATAAAAGGCCCGAGTTAAAAATCAAATATCTTAATCTATATTTATATATTAATTTTAATTTTAATTTTAATTTTAATTTTTTATTAATATTTTTTTTATTAATATGTATAATTTTTTATTTAATTAATTAGATATATAAATAAAAATTTTTTATTAAAAAAAAGTTACAAAAACAATTTTTTTTTTAAATGAATGAATTAATACAGTACATTACAAGGTATGTCGGTAAAAGGCTTGTGCAAACGTTGAAAAACTCCAAAAACGGGGAGTTTCTCGGCATTTGTTGATTGAGTGTGGGACCTATTTGGTTGGCCCCGCCCTCAACTTTAGAAAACCAAAGGCTAACTTCTCAAACGCGGAGCCACACGGTGCCGTACAGGTCATGAATACATCCTCAAAATCAATGATTTGGAATTACTTGGCAGAGGAGAGAACACATCAAACCTCGCTATGATGGAGCCATGATTGCAGCTTTTGATTTGCAGTGCATTGTCCCTGTAATGAAGAAATTCTTCTTTTGATTCATAACAACTGCTACAAAATGCAAAAATAGTGTTCGGGATTACAATAGCTTCTATTTGAAGCCTTTTAAAAGTATATTTCACTTACAAAAACATATATTTTTGTTTTAATCTTCAATATGGTAATATCAAAAATAAAAAGAAATCTTAAAAAAATTATTTTAATATGTTTTTAAATAAAAAACTTTCAACACGACCGGACAAAATAAGTGACTTCCCAGTGCAAATCTCCGAACATTCATGACCAACAAACATTGTTCCTCTGCCGAGAAAGAGCAGCCTGGCAATTCCACAAAGCGCCAGTGGCAGAAAAATACATCACAATCTGGAGCGTGATATCCTCAAGAGTTACAAATGTTGAAACAGTTGCCATATGACAACAATTAGAATGACAACGGCAATAACCAGCAAGATCAAGCAAGAGCAGCCGCCCTTGGTGCGTTTGTTCAGAAAAGCCAATTTCCTTTGAACCATCTGTTGCATAAACAGCATCAGCATCAATTGAAGGTTAAAATAATCCAGGCAACTTAAAAGGTTAAAATGCAGAAATTTCCCCATAAAAATATCAAAAGATTAACTCTTTCACACAAGAAATCGCGCTAATCCCATATGTGTTCCTTATTGTTTACAATCACTGAAAACAATTAAAATTAAAAAGCAGGAATCAAACCTGTAGACGAGAATTTGTTACATCCACGTGCTCATCCAAGTCATCCTGAATTAAAGAGGGAAGGGAATATTGAGTTAAAGGTCTACAACAACTCCAGCATGTCAAAGGATTGTCAAAATGCAAGGAGATTATACAATGGAAAAATGGGGGATAAATCAAAAACTCTGACCAGAAGCCTAGTGTGTAGGGAAAGTTCCTCGTTGACAGCCAAAGCAATGTGTTTCGTACTTATCACTGTCTCCTCCAATTTCTCAAGGCCTTGATCTTGTTCTGAATATTTTTATGTCAATTAAGCTACAAAACTTGAACTACATCTTTCTAAAATCAGAGAAAGCAAGAACATCTAAGTTACAATAACATGCCTTTCATAACTTGCCGTTGAAAGCCAACAAGACCATGGTTGTCCAAGCCAGATGCTCTATCCACAATATCATCTGTCTTCTTATCAGGCCCAAGCAAGTTCTCTCTGTTAGCAACACTGGACATATTGAGAATACTAGCCATCTGGTTAACTTTAGTACTCAGATTTTTCAGCATGTCTTGACGTCGATTCATCTCTTTCCCGGTTCTGTTCGTGATGGTATCAGAATCAAAGGTTTTCAGGGTCAGGATGAAAACTAAAGCTAACACGTTACAATAAATAGCTTAATTATGGATTTGCTAAAATACAGTTTTCAACAAGGTCAGGGGTGAAAAACTACAGCTAATGTATTGTTTGGCACATCATATTTATCTATATCTCTATCCCTTCTAACTACCAATGAATTTCTCGTTCATTTGATTTCAGTAAAATATCTATAAAAAACTACAAAGGTCAAAATATCAAAGAATTTCTCATATTTGAGTACAAAATACCATGCAGTACTGAGCACTTACTTCAATATCTAATCCTCCTATGAAAAGGGTTTTTCATGCAACTCTGGAGGAACACCACAACCTCATATATAGCAACCGAACTTCTACAATGCAAAAAGAAGAAAGAAACAAAGAATTTCCCACCTCCCCTATATTTATGCCTTTCATTTGATATTGGTAAATTCCCATCGAAGATCCACTTGTTGATGCTTTCTACTCTTCAGGTACAGATTACCAAACCATACAGTAGTATGGAAAGGGGTTTCTAGGAAACTCTAGAGGAAAGCCTCAACCACACAATCAAAATATGAAGCAAAAGAAAGAAAAAGAAACGAAGGGTCGCTGTACAATGTCGTCTAAACTAACACAAGCATTTCATACATTCACCACTGTTCCAGCTCCTTAAAATTAACATTAACTTTGCGAAACTGGCCACACCATAACATTCACCAGAAAGGATAAGCACAAACATAAAACAGGATTCAATTACCATAATAAAGAGCAATTAGGAAGTCTATTGCTAACCCAGACATTGCAGCATAACTCAATTTAAGGCCCAAAATAAGGTATTTACCAAACAACAATTCACAAGAAAGAAAAACACTTACATTGGTTGCTTGCTAGGAAGTTCTGACAGAAGGGACTGCAAAATATCAAGTTTAGTTCTTAAAATAGTGATCTTTCTTCTACTTGCCGAAAGATGCCTTTGTGTTTCTGGTCCTGATGAAGGCAAGGAATTCTTCCCAGAAATCATACCATTAATTTCATCACCCAGTTTTGATGCTTCATTGAATTCTTGCATCCATGACGCCGATGGCGTTGACATTGCTCCTATAATAATAATAATAATAATAATAATAAAATAAACTTTGCTGCTTTATTTTCCCTGTAATCCTACCATAGTCAAAGAAAAGCTTATTCTCAAAAAAGGGTATTCATAACACAAAAAACTGTCGTAAAATTCTAGTTCAAGATTGAATTCTGAAACAGTCCGTGATTGGCATAATCAAACTACCCCGATTAGCCGGATCATAAAACCGAGACATAAGACCTGGGCTTCAAGGGAACAGAGAATGTTTACCTTAAATTGTATGTTCGATGGGTAACGGATGATGGAGAGAAGATAGCCTTGGCTTCAGAGTAACAGAAAATTAACGTTGACGAAAAGCAGGCAGGGAGACGAGAAGGAAAGCTAGTTGTCTGGTTCCTAATCAATGAGTAATTAATGAACTAAGAGTGACACGTGTATCACGATTAACTTGTCTGATTTACACAGGAATTTTTTTTTTTAAAAAAAAAGAGCCTTGGAGAGTCCGTTTGTTCTTGAGTTGATAATGTTTTTTAATTGCAGGTTTTATTGTCGTTGGTGGGTTAATTAAATTAAAGTTAAAGAAAAAAAAAAACTATGGTAGAGTGCTTTCAATGTATATGAAGTGGGTAATGCGAGTAAAAATATATTATAATACTATTTTTATCCCTTTTTTTCCTGCTCCAATTATTATTTTTTTTTAATTTTTTTTTCACAATCTATTTTCTAAATATTAGATTTAATGTTTTTTTATTTGTTTTTTATTTGATTATCATGTTTTGTCACAAGGGTTCAAAGTTGGTTCAAAGTTAAATTAATGCTTGATTTTATAAAAAAATATAATTTTATTATTTGTAAAAATAATTAAAGATACCAAATTAAAAGTGAGTGAAAATGCAGCCATTTAACTCTAAGCAATGTTTATTCAGTGTTTTTCTAGAAAAAATATGCCTTGATATTTTTTTTCAAATTCTATTTTGGTATCTTTAATTTTAATACTATATATTTTGATCTATTTTAATCAAGAACTTTATTTTATTAATATTTAAATCCATAAGTATAAGGGATAAGTAAGAGAGAGTTGTTGAAAAAAAAAGTCATTAATTATCCATAATAAATAAACTTATTATTAATGTTAATAAGTTTCATTTGATGAAAAAAAATTCTATTAAGAGATTTTTTACTTTTTATCTTATTGAAAAAAAAAATACATAGCAATTGATAAATAAAATTTTATTTTGATTTGATTTTATATTTTAAATTAGTTTAAATATGTTTTGAGTTGAGAAATTAATTTATTGATGAATTTTTTTTAACTTTTTTAGGCTAAAATATATTGAAAATAGTTTTTTAAATTAAAAAAACCTTAACTCCTCTCTGGGTGTTGGAATCTGAAAATGTAGAAAATACGTGGTTTTTTTTTTATATATAAAAAAGATTGTCCTCCCCTTGAACCAATCCCTTGAACCAATAAAAGATTTGTAGAAGGCCATGCATTTTTTACCTTTAAATTTTTTTCTTTTAATTTTAATTTAAATTAATTAAAAATATATTTGGAATGGCCTACCTGGCAAATAATGTGTCATTTGTTTTGTTTTGTTTTTTCCCCTGCAGGTTCAATGTAGACAATATGAAAGATTTGAACTTGCAAAGTAATGAGCTAACAGGTTATTTGCCGGCCACTATCTTCAACATCTCTTCTTTACGTCAGGTTTCTCTTGGAAGCAATAATTTACTAGGTGACCTCCCTACCAATGGACTTATGTCACCACCTCCCTTTACTTGAAGTCCTCATGATTCAGGGAAATAATCTCAGTGGTCAGATTCCACCAAGTCTATGCAAATGCGAAAAGCTTCAGGAAATATCAATGACAGACAACAATTTTACTGGAAACTTTTCGGTGCTTATCGACTTATCTAGTAGTCGCAATATGTTATCAGGGCCAATGCCACGCTCTCTTGCTAATTTATCCAGGTTGGAGTATCTTGACTCGTCATATAACAACTTGCGCGGCTCTGAAGGAACTCCGTTTGGAATCCAATTCTTTAACTAATGATCCTTCCAGTCAAGAACTTAGCTTTATCACTCCTCAAAAAACTTGTAGGGAGTTGGAGGTTTTGAGGATTGGAAACAATCCTTTAAATGGAATGCTCCCAAATTCCATAGGAAACCTCTCCAGTAACTTCTCATATACCCACCCAACAGCAAACTCAAAGGCAATATTCCATGGGAAATTGAGTAACCTAATTGACTTGGCCTTGAATGTAAATAATTTGACTGGGTCTATTCCATCAGTGGGAGGGCCAGAGAAGGTTCAATTCCTTATGATATATGTCTTGTAAGGAACTGGGCTAAATTAGCTTTGTATAGAAATAATTTTTCTGGAGAGATACCAAACTGCATAGGGAAACTTACTTCTTTAAGACGCATTTATCTTAATTCCAACGGGTTGAGTTCTACCATCCCCTTGACATTATGGAGGTTGGAGGATCTAGTATTCTAGTGGTTTTGAATCTGAGTTCAAATTCTCTGAAGGGATCACTTCCACTGCAAGTTGGAGGAAAGAAGGCCGCAACTGCTATTTATTTGTCAAGGAATCAATTGTCTGGTGATATTCCAACTACAGTAGGTTCACTTCAAAACTAGATAAATATCTCGCTTTCTAGGAACAGTTTTCAAGGGTGCATTCCAGAAGGATTCGGTGATGTGGTAAGCCTGGAATTCTTAGATTTGTCTCAAAATAACTTGTCTGGTATGATCCCCAAGTCATTAGAGAAACTTGGATATTTGAAGTACTTGAATGTGTCTTTCAATGGATTGCGAGGAGAAATTCCAAGTGGAGGACCATTGCAAGCTTCACTGCTCAGTCTTTTATGAGAAATAAGGCTCTTTGTGGCCCTTCCCAGCTGCAAGTACCACCGTGCCACAGTAAATCTCATAGGTCTTCAAAGACTAAATCCAGAATTCTTATGTTCGGTTTACCAGCCGTTGGTTCTCTACTGCTTGTGTTGGCTGTCATTGGTCTTGTTTTAGAATGTCGAGGAAGGCATAGAAAAAGTCCAATTTCGGAAGCATTGCCATTGACTACAGCAATCCAGAGAAGAGTTTCTTGCCTAGAACTGCGGCGTGCAACAAATGAATTTCAAGAGATTAATCTGCTAGGTGTTGGAAGTTTTGGCTCTGTATATCCAGGGATGCTTCCTGATGGGCTAAATGTTGCTGTGAAGACTTCTAATCTGCAGGTGCAAGGAGGATTCAAAAGTCTTGATACAAAGTGCTAGATCATGCGCAGCATTAGACACCGCAATCTTGATGTTAAAAATAATTTTTAAAAACTAAAAAATATTATTATATATATTTTAACATAAAAAATTATTTAAAAAGCAATTGTGAACACGTTGTATATCTCCAATTGCTCTAATATTGACTTCAAAGCCTTTGTCCTGGAGCACATGCCTAAAGGAAGCTCGGAAAAATGGCTATACTCTTACAACTATTGCTTAGAAATCATTCAAAGAGTGAACATAATGATTGATGTTGCATCTGCATTAGAGTATCTTCATCAGGTCATTCAACTCCGGCGGTGCATTGTGATTTGAAACCGAGCAATGTGTTGCTACATGAAGACATGGTTGCGCACGTACGTGATTTCGGCATTGCAAAACTCTGGGGTGGAGGTGAATCCATTGCACAAACCAAGACCCTTTCCTCAATAGGTACATGGCGCCAGGTGATGTTTATACTTCCTATTGTAGATTATGTATTAATTTGAAGGAAATAATCGCGTGAAAGAAACACATGATTTTTAACCTGTTTGTTTTTGTGTTAAAAAATTTTTTTTAAACAATTTTATTTTTTTATTTTTTTCTTCAAATTATTTTTTTATATTATTTTAATATATTGATTATTGGGAATTCCGACCGGTGATGTACTGATACTTGCTCATAAAAAAGGAAGCACACTGACACAATATTTAACGTGGTTCGATAAACCGCCTGCATCCACGGGAGAAGTCATTGCATTATGTAGGGAGAGTACAAGATTTACAACAATAGAAAAGGAGGAATTATCCCCTCTTTGACAACTCTCAACCTCATTCTATTTCTCTCTTTTCAGTGCTGCAATGACAGCTACTACTGGTTGTCTTGGCAACCTATTCTCTTCTACATTTCTCATATCTTTAACTCTTTTTCCTCTTTTATTTTGCTCTCTCATACATGCCTCTATTTATAAGCATTCATGGAGGCTCTTCTTGTTTTGTTGTTAATATTGATGGTCATCAATTCTAGCTCATTCAATAATAATAGCTGTCAATAGTTAATTATTAGTGCCATCCATTTGTTGCACATGAAATGATAATCAACCTAACATTGATATTAAAAATAATTTTTAAAAGTGATTGTTCAAGGAATAAATGAGCTTGAAGAGATTGGTGAAAGAATCTTTGCCTGATTCAGTGGCAATATGCTGAATAGAGGAGATGGCTTCTCAAACAAGGAGCAGTGTGTGATATCTATAATGGAATTGGCTCTGCAATGTTCTAATGAGTCACCCGAAGAAAGGATCAACATGGTTGAAATCCTAGTAAGGTTTAAAAAGATCAAGGAGCAATTCTTAATATATATCTCCCCTCTACTCTCTCTTCTCTGCCTAATAAAGAAAATTGCTTTGAGATCTGTAATTTCTCACCTCCATTTTCCTTTCTCCTGTTTTCCATCTGACGAGGCTGGTCTTTGTTAGGTGTCATAAGAGAATTGATAGGTCTCCTCCCACATAGGTTGTTGGCCGTCTAAGTTGAGCTGTTGAACACGACTTGAACTTTGACCTCCTGGAAGCCTCCCAAAAAAGGTCAAGAGATCTTTCATTGCTTAAGCTAGAATCAATGAAGATAGAAAGAAACTTTTATTTTGGTTCACAATGGTCAAGTCTTATTTTTTTTGTCAGATGGTTGTCAATTCTGTTCCTGTATATTTTATTTCAATTTAAAAAATAAAATAAATCAAAAAAAATTTATTCCAATTAGAATTTGAGCTCGTTATAGAAATTTTATTCAAATTTCAGCTAGAATATTCTGATTCATTCCTTTCTAATTAAATATTATTTTTTTTTAAATAATATCTAGTTTTACAGTAATAATCATATTTTTTAATCCAATCATTAGATTAAACAAAAATTATATAGGGGTTTCTTAACATATATTGGTATATTTCATGTTAAAATTTTAGAGTAATTAGAGATTAGAAAGGTATTGCAAAATTACTAATGATATTCTTAAAATTTTGTTCAAATTTATAATTTTATTCAAAAAAAATTATTTTATTATGTCTTTTTTAGATTAATTCTTAATTCTTTCTTAATTTCATTATTTAAAAATAAATTTATTAAAAATTAATTTTTATAATTTATTTTATTTAAAATTGTTATGACCTTATCATCTTTATGATCTAGATGGATTTAACATACTTGAATTTTAAATTAAAAAAGAAAAATCATCCAAAACATTAATCACAGATACTTAACATGCTCATACTTGAAATTATCTAATCAATTATCATATAGGACATAATCATATAGTTAAGGACTTCGCAAATCGTATGGTCCAACTATATTTAGACGGGTATTACAATCTTGGTGTTTCCTTCACGTTATTTAATTTTGATTTTTTTGAGAAGGTTTTTCACGGCATTCTGACTCTCCACATTTATGAAAGCATCTGTCCATATGGAAGTCATGATCTTTAATTCAAGGAAAACAGAATTTGTGATCTTGCTCGCCATTCAAAAGCAGCTTATAAAGCTTTTTCTTAGTCTTCATTTTTATTATTATGTTCTCACAAAATAAGTGATGGGGAGAGTTTGGATCACTATTCTTGTTTCGATGCTGCTAATGTCTCTGCAGAAGAAATGCGTTAGCATACCCACGAGTAACTTCACCGATCAATCTGCTCTTCTTGCCTTCAAGGATCACATTACTTTTGATCCTCAAAACATGCTAGCTCACAACTGGTCCTCCAAAACCTCCTTCTGTAACTGGATGGGAGTCTCTTGCAGTCTTCGCAGGCAAAGAGTCACAGCGCTGGATCTCTCTAGCATGGGCCTCCTAGGGGCCATTCCTCCACAACTTGGAAACCTGTCCTTTCTTCAATATCTGATTCTTTACAACAATAGTTTCCATGGAGATCTACCCAGCGAGATAGGTAATTTATGCCGATTGAAATCAATGGATATAGGTTCCAATAAGTTACCATTAGTGATACCCGAAAGTTTTGGGAATTTGCAGACTTGAAGAACTAAGATTCGATGGAAATAATCTCACAGGTACCAAATGATCACCTTTAATTATCAACGTTAGTTTCTTAACATGTGAAGGGTTTTTTTTACAATGCATAGATATGTTTCAGGTACAATCCCATCCACAATCTTCAACATCTCTTCCTTGAAAGTCCTTGATCTCATGTTTAACGGCCTATTTGGAAGTCTTCCGAAGAACATGTGCGACCATCTTCCTAGACTAGAAATGCTTTTGCTTTCCACTAATCAACTCAGTGGCCAAATCCCATCTGATTTATTCAAATGTAGAGAGCTACAATCATTATGGTTGCCTTATAATAACTTCACTGGAGTTATTCCAGAAGAACTTGGATTCCTCCCTATGCTTGAGCTTCTAAATCTTGGTGTCAATATGTTGTCAGGTTTGCAGTCTCTCGTTCCTATATGTGCACAGAGACACAGACTTTCTTTGATGCATGTTTGTAACATATTTTACTAACCTATTCATTGATTATCATCTTTTTTACTAATATCCTAAGATATTGTGCAGGTGATTTGCCTCGATCGATCTTCAACATGACTTCTTTAACAAGCATGCAACTTTGTTGCAATAACCTGTCAGGTAATGCTTATTTATTTTTCAGTTATAAATATATAAGATTTGTGAGTAACGATGTTAAAGTTTATAATAAGATCAAAATATACAAAACATTAAAAAAAAATCAATAAAAGTCTAGAGTGCATATAATTTTTTTAATATATAAACATGAAAAAAAAACTTGTGTGGGATATATTTTCAACATAGATATAATAATAAAAAACAAATACTAGTATATATATTATGTATTAATTTAAAATTATAATTGATACAAAATCAAAGTTTTAGCATGCATACTAATAATAGTAATAACTATATATGCTTGAATTGAAAAAAAAAGAGAGGATATGTACTTATTAAAATATTTTAAAATAATAAAATTTTTATTTTTGTTGATCATTAATTTTTTATTTTTAAAGTTTTATTATTTATCACTTGTATAACTAAAATGTTTGTAATATATCTTTCAAGATTTCAATAATACTACATTGGTTTAAATGTACTTCTAAACAAGGTATTTAAACAAAAAATTATATAACTCAAATATTTCTTAATAAAATGAATATTAGCTCTAGATTTTGAAGAAAAAACAAAGCATAAATAGGGAAATAAAAAACTAAAATATGAGACGATGAAGAGTGTATAAAAATAAAAAAAATTATAGCAAACTCTTCATTCACTCTCTCTTTTTACAGTGAATTTTGAAAGTTAAAAAGTTAAAAAATTAATTATAATAATAATCAAAATTATTTTTCATATTATCAACTTTTAATTAATCATTTTAAATCAATAATTAAATCTATATTTGTTAAAATTAAAGCTTGTTTTGCCTGAAATCTCTTTTCTCAAGTTTACTTGGATGCTTTTTAAATTTAGTTTTAACTTTTTAACTACTCATTTTATAAACACTTGAAAATTTTGTTTATTTTCAATTTAGAATAGAGATTTTTAAATAATTCTGGCTTCATCAAAATATATCAACCTACAGTCCTTTAAAATTAATTTTTCATTCATTTATTTTTTTTAAATCATGTTAAAGTTGTATCTTAAATAATATATATTAAAGATTAAATTTAAATAAAGTTTTAACCCTCTTAAAAATAAGTGAATCTTACTTTTATTTTAACTTCAAAGATGCCCATTAACCATATTATTCAAACAATGCTTTCTTTCTTCTTTCTTCTTTCTTCTTTCTTCTTACCTGGAACACACAGTCGTTTGTAGTTTGAGATGCTTCTAGAGAAAGCAGAGCACAAGTCGTATAAGTGCAAAAAGAAACCCTGTCATTAAATCCCTATTCGAAATGGTCAGATTTTGTAACATTATTTTCCTATGGAAGGCCTACAGAATCGCACAGAGTTTATACGTTCTTGGTTTCTCTCTGTTTCGTTTATAATTTTCCTGATTTGCAACGTCTACCAAACTATATTCATTCGGAAACACAATTCTTGAGCCTGTATTAGATAAGAATCCTGGATCAAAGTTGTCCCAGTTTGCTTGCTCAGATAAAACAATATCTTTTGCCTTGTTCTAATTCTAAGTGTCAAATTAGATATGTTTGATTATTGTTCTTATCAAACCGAACCTGATAAGAAGAAAATAAACACCAAGAAAGACACAAATTTTGACCAAAAAGGGTCATATATATAAGTAGAATCCTAATTTATATTTTATTGCTTTATATTTTTCTCTTAAGTAGTCTTTCTTTGAAATGTTTATAATTTCTTAAATATACAAGAAACCAACTTCATCCAACTTAATAGAAACTAGAATATTAATATCCTCCACATGATCATAATCATCAAAAGATTATACGCCTCACTTTTCTTTTCTTTTTTGACAGGATCAATACCTCAAGAAAACAGCATTAATCTTCCTAACTTGGAGGAGCTGCAACTAAATCTAAATGGTTTAACAGGTCGGTTCGATACCCATCTCACACACACACACACTCTTTCAGTTTTCAGTTTATTTCATCAATTCATACCGATTGGCTTACATGTTGGTGATAATATGTTATCAGGGTCAATGCCACGCTTTATTGGGAATATGTCCAGGTTGGAGATCCTTGATTTGTCATATAACAAGATGACTGGTAATGTTCTACAAGAATTTGGAAATTTGAGAGCGCTGCAATCCCTCCGTTTGCAATCCAATTCCTTTACAAATCACCCTTCAAGTCAGACACTCAACTTCATCACCTCTTTGACAAATTGTAGGCAGTTGAAAGAATTGCATATTGGGGACAACCCTTTAGATGGCATGTTGCCAAATTCCGTAGGGAATTTATCCAGCTTTCTAACAAACTTCTATGTATACGCCAGCAAACTCAAAGGCAATATTCCAGGTGAGATTGGCAACTTGAGCAGCCTAATTGTCTTAAGTTTGGAAGAGAATAGTCTGATGGGACCTATTCCTACAACAGTGGGAGAGCTAAGGAAGATTCAAGTACTAGATCTTTATAAGAACAATCTTAATGGTTCCATTCCACCTAATATATGTCTTGCAAGGAGGTTGGTTGACATAACATTAAACAATAACGTATTGTCTGGAGACATACCTTCCTGCATAGGGAATCTCACGTCTCTAAGAAACCTTTATCTTCACTTCAATATATTAAGTTCTACCATACCTATGGCTCTGTGGAGCCTAAAGGATCTCTTGATTTTGAATCTGAATTCAAACTTTCTATATGGATCTCTTCCTTCGCAAGTTGGAGAAATGGAAGCTGCAATAGGAATTCGTTTGTCAAGCAACCAGTTGTCAGGTAATATTCCGAGTACAATAGGTTCACTCCAGAACTTGATAAGATTTTCATTATCCAAAAACAGCTTTCAAGGGTCCATTCCAGAAGCATTCGGTGGTTTGGTAACCCTGGAACTCTTAGATCTATCACAAAATAACTTGTCTGGTGAGATTCCCAAGTCATTAGAGGCACTTAGATATTTGGAGCTTTTCAATGCGTCTTTCAATGGACTACAAGGGGAAATTCCAAGAGGAGGACCGTTCGCAAATTTTACTGCTCGTTCTTTTATTATGAATAAGGGTCTATGCGGCCCATCTCGGCTGCAAGTCCCACCTTGCAGCATTGAATCTCGTAAAGATTCAAAGACTAAATCCAGACTTCTAAGGTTCAGTTTACCAACTGTTGCATCTATACTGCTTGTGGTGGCTTTCATTTTTCTTGTCATGAGATGTCGACGAAGATGCAGAAAAGATCCAATCCCAGAAGCCTTGCCAGTGACAGCTATCCAGAGGAGAATTTCTTACCTAGAACTGCGGCGTGCAACAAATGAATTTCAAGAGAGTAATCTGCTAGGTGTTGGAAGTTATGGCTCTGTATATCAAGGGATGCTTCCTGATGGGCTAAATGTAGCTGTCAAGATTTTTAATCTGCAATTGCAAAGAGCATTCAGAAGTTTTGACACAGAGTGCGAAATCATGCGCAACATTAGACACCGCAACCTTGTGAAGATTATCTGCAGTTGCTCTAATCTTGACTTCAAAGCCTTAGTCCTGGAGTACATGCCTAGAGGAAGCTTGGAGAAATGGTTATACTCCCACAACTATTGCTTGGACATCATTCAAAGAGTGAACATAATGATCGATGTTGCATCAGCATTAGAGTATCTCCATCACGGCTATCCATCTCCTGTGGTGCATTGTGATTTGAAACCGAGCAATGTGTTACTAGATGAAGACATGGTCGCGCATGTATGTGATTTTGGTATTGCAAAACTCTTAGGTGAAAATGAGTCTTTTGCACAAACCAGGACCCTTGCCACAATAGGGTATATGGCACCAGGTAATGTGTACTCTCAACAGAATATGTTCATTGCTTTAGCTTAAATATTCGGGAAATCACATCCTAGCTGTAACATTCTTGTCATCTGCAGAATATGGATTGGAAGGACACGTGTCCACGAAGAATGATGTCTATAGCTTTGGAATCATGTTAATGGAGATGCTGACGCGAAAAAGGCCTACCGATGAAATGTTCGAGGGAGAAATGAGCTTGAAGAGATTGATCAAAGAATCGTTGCCTGATTCAGTAATAGACATTGTGGATAGCAACATGCTGAATAGAGGAGATGGCTACTCCTTAAAGAAGGAGCACTGTGTGACATCTATAATGGAGTTGGCACTGCAATGTGTCAATGAATCACCTGAAGAGAGGATGGTCATGGTTGAAATCTTGGCAAGGCTTAAAAACATCAAGGCGGAATTCTTGAGAGATTCTGAGAGGCGGAGGCCATAACATACATCAACTTGTTCCAGTTAATTGCTGTCCAATTTTCCTGTGTGAATTAAATTTGATGGTCAATACCATCAATTTTGTCTCTTTATCATTAGAGTTTACCATTGGAGAAGGCCTTAATTTTTATTTTCTTTAGTTAATTGAATCTCAATTCAATCAAGTTTTTCATCACTAAGATTATCCAACATTGATCCAGTCTTAAAATAGAATGTTCAAATATGAATTGTTATTATAATTATACAAGGTAAAATTTCTTTCATACAACTTCTACTTTAATTCATTTTCATGTAGAAAACAAGCACATGTGTTCCTAAATCAAGCTCTCAGGGGACCATAATGGGCTTTAATAGGCCATATTTATAACTTTGAGGCCTTTTTTCTGCAATCCCTAAGGCCGAAAGCGGAAACAAGAGTTCACATGAACCTAAGAACTTTCTATTAAATGACTAGAGTCAGGGCCAGTTATTCTGTGTGATTCTGTACTAAATTCTTAAAACTACAGTGATGAGTTGTGTCTAAAGATTTGACATGCAATCTGCAAATGCCAATAAGATAGTTGGAAAGGACAAACACGCATGAGCCGATAACCTTTTGATCTAGGTATTTAATTAGTTCAAATCACACCGATCATAAAGGCACTTCGATATAGTGGGAAGGCCATCGGAAACTATTTTTTAGGTCAAAATCCTTAAGTCTTTTTTTGTGATCTAAATCTCCAAAATCCCCTCAATTGTTTCTATTTCAAAATTTTAGCTTTTCTAATTATCTTTTCCTTTTATTTTAGTATTAATTTCAGATCCTATGCTATTTTTATTTTCTATTAGGACAAGCTATTTAAATTCTTGTTCTGGGAATTGGAACTTGATTATCAGGTTAAAAATATTCATACTTGTGGATTTTCCGTACGGTTTATTACCGTGTTGGCTTTTGTGAGTGATATATATCTTTTCAGTCAACCCTTGCCATTAACAGCAATCCAGAGAAGAATTTCATACTTTGAACTTCTGCGTTCAACAAATGAATTTCATGAGAGTAATCTGCTGGGCGTTGGAAGTTATTGCTCTGTGTATCAATGTGTTACTAGATGAGGACGTGGTTGCGCACGGATGTGATTTCGGGATAGCAAAACTCTTTGGTGAAAGCGAATCCATTGCACAAACCAAGACCCTTGCCACGATAGGGTATATGGCACCAGGTGATGTTTGTTCTTCAAAATATTTGATAAATCACATCCTATGACATTCTAAATATCTTGTGCAGAATATGGACTGGATGGTCTTGTGTCCACGAAGATTGATGCCTACAGCTTTGGGATCATGTTGATGGAAATGTTCACGCGAAAAAAGCCTGCTGATGAAATGTTTGAGGGAGAAATGAGCCTAAAGAGATTGCTGAAAGAATCCTTGCCTGATTCCGTAATTGACATTGTGGATAGCAGCATGCAGAATAGAAGAGATGGATATTCAGTAAATAAGGAGCACTGTGTCACATCTATAATGGAAGTTGGCTTTGCAATGCACTTATGAATCACCTGAAGAAAGGATCAACACTCTCGATATTCTGGCAAGGCTTCAGAAGATCAAAGTGGAGTTCTTGAGAGAACCTGAGAGACGATTGACATAAGAAACATCAACTCCTAGTACCTTCCAGTACCTCACTGCCCATTCCATTTTCCGGTTGTGTAAGTTATATTTTCTTGTCAATAATCTGAACTTTAACAGTTGTATGACCATTTGAAGAGGCGTTAATCCCAACTTTATTTCAAAAATACTGCTATCAGAGCTCCTGTCAAGACCCTCTAACCTAGAATGGATTAACCTGAATTCACTAGAGTTAAATCAACTTTTGAATTCAAAAAAGGAAAAAACACTATAAGCGACATAAGATTCTTATGGTCGATGAATCATTGTCTGATTCAGTAACTGAAATTGTGGATAGCAACCAGATGAATCGAAGAGATGGCTATTCAGCAAATAAGGAGCAATGTGCCACATCAATAATGTAGTGGGCTCTGCAATTTTCAAATGAATCACCAGAAGAAAGGATCGACATGGTTGAAATCCTGGCTAGACTTTACGAAGATTGAATTCATGAGAAACACCGAGAAATTAATGGAGACCATAAGATACATCGACTAGCAGTAATTACTCTGTTTTATTTTATTTTATTAACATGGTTCTTTCGGATCAATTTATATATATTTTAATTAATTTCATAAATTTTAAAATTAATAATAATATAAATTTTCAATAATCCTAAAAGTACTCAAACTCATGATTACTGAGAAGCAAACTCAAAGCTTCACTAATTAAACTACCTTTTAGGATTACATTGCTTTTCTTTTTTCGTGTGTCCAAAAGTCAAATTTGCTCCTGAATAATATAAACTTTATGGCTTTATCATTTAAGGAGATCTTGAATCAATTAATTCTTTTAACTATTATTTTTGTTTTAAAAATATTTTTGAAAAAAGTTATATTTTTTATTTTAAATTAATATTTTTAAATTATTTTGATATATTTATACCAAAATTAATTTTAAAAAATAATTATAACTATATTTTCAAACACGTCTAAAAAAAGTTGTATTATCTAATATTGATTAGATTGGGATAAAATTGACAAAATCAAAATGTTCGAGACTCATTTTACACCAGAGGTAACATTAGGAGCCACATTAAGGTTAACCTTGTAAAAATCACCTTTAACCTTTTCAATTCCCCTACGTATACAAAACAAACAAAAGCAGGGACACGAAAGAGTTAAGCTGCAAGTGTGTCACACACTCACTGTCACTGCTACAGCCAAAGCTTTTTCCACTGCCTGGCCTCCGGTAGCCAAAATCCGTACCCGTGACAAAACCTGATCTTTAAAAAAAGAAAAAAAAAACACTACCTTTAAACCCCGAAGGCCATTTTTTCCATTCGAAGTAAAAATGGTGCCAAACCCAGTATCTCTCAGTCGTAAGACTCCATTGTTATACTGTTTTGTGGGTTTTTCATGCAAACTCACTTCTCATTCTAGCCAAAGAACTCAGCTTTCCTTGAACCCTGTTCAGATAACTGGATTCAGGGCCTGTTCTTCTTCTACTCTGTTTTCAAATTCTTTAAATTATAGTCATGGAGCTGTGTTTAAGGACTTGGATGGTACCAGAAAGGGATATAGGCAATTGGGTGTTGATCAATCTCGTCTCTTGGCTGTTTCTGATGGTGGCTCTGGTGGTTCTGGTGGGGTTGGGGGCTCTTCTGGTGGTGGAGGTGAAGGTAGTGGTGCTAGTAGTGGTTCTGGTGGAAAGAGTAACTGGTCCTTCCTTTCATGGTAATGATGAATTGTCAGTTTTGCTAATCTGTTCAGTTTTTACGCTGTTGGTGATTTTAGTTCTTTCTGGTTCATGCTGCGTAGCAAGCTTTTTTTTCACATTGGTGTTTGATAGTATGTAAATTTCTATTTTGATGTCTTGGGAATGCAATAAAAATGTTTAATCAGATATTTCTTAACTCCTCCTAAAGTGGAAATCTATGGGAGTATGGAATCTTTTTTGTATGTGCATGCTGTACCCTATTTGTCATCTTTGTCTGCATTGAATTTTTTTTCTCTCCTGCAATTTGTGATATAATCTCTCACCAATAACCGATATTAAAAACAAGATCACTTTTAGCTCACATTGAGTTATATGTTATTGCAGGTATTTGAATCTTCTTGCAAACTACCCTGTGTTGACTAAAGCTGTAACTTCTGCAATATTGACTCTTATGGGAGACTTGATCTGCCAGGTAATTTTACAGGCTATGGCAACAGATGTTAGAGAAATGTGCATCTCTCTTCTACGTTTTACTTATTTTGGGTTTTTTCTGTTGATATATATGTCGTGAGTGTTTGTTCTTTGTATTGATTTCCATTCATTTGATCTCTAAGATGAGTGGTTTATGCTTTATTTAGCGACCTATGGATGTGTCGTGAACTGAAACTGTTGGTCTAAGTATTGATCTATAAACTTTATGATATCTATATGGTAGTTCAACTTCATCAATTTGTGGAATTTTGGCAACTTTGGTTTTGCATTTATGGTTTCTGAATGCCTCCAAACAAGGTGTGAACAGTCTTTGATAAAACAATTGGTTTCCAGCATTAAATAAATAAATGTCACTGAATTATCCTTTAGGGTGGTCTGGAGTGCCTGTAAGAACATCTGAGCTTTTTTTTTTTTTTTTTTTGAACTGCAGGGTGTTCAAACTCAAGTTTTACTAACGTTGGTGTCACCTTGAATTAGGAAACAATGGCCCAATTTTTCATTTAGATGCTCTCATGTGTGTGTGTGTGGGTGTCCTGGTTACGCAATGGCATCTTCTAAGAACTCCTTCCCATGTTCAATTGTAGTAATTAAGCTATTTTTAATACATGCTCTTGTTATAGACCATTTCATGTATAACTTTTCTAAATCTTTGCCTTTTCTGTCTCAGCTTGTGATTGATCAAGTTCCATCCCTAGACATTAAAAGAACTTTCTTGTTTACACTCTTGGGGCTGGTACTGGTGGGTCCCACATTGCATATCTGGTAATCCTTCAGACTTTTCATATTTTGGTATTGCAAGCATGAGAAGGTTAGCGAGTAGAGTTTAAATTACCGCATGTGAGAAGCCGTTCATGAAAATAACAGCCTAAAACTTTTTTACCTCAATATTTGCAGTTGAAGTTCTACCCTTCAAACATGACTCTGTATTTTTGTTTGCCTGAAGTCTGGATGATCCAATCTTTTTGACTAAATACTAATGCTGCGCTGTTTTATGTATTTTTGTTTGCCTGAAGTTTGGATGATCCAATCTGTTTGACTAAATACTAAATACCAATGCATATGCTGATCTTGTCAACCAGAATTTGCTAAAAAAAAAAAATGAAAACACACTTATTGGATCCTGCTAATTTTTCATTACTTGACTTGGTGTTTCTTAGGTACTTATATTTGAGCAAATTGGTAACAGTACCTGGAGCATCAGGTGCATTCTTGCGCCTTTTAGCTGATCAGGTGACGCCAAATTTTTCATAGTTGACTTTCATAATTTTCATGACAACATCTGTGCTGCTGAGCTAAATATGTTCTATGTATTCTAAAATAATTGCAGTTTGTTTTTTCTCCTATATTCATTGGAGTTTTCTTGTCAACATTGGTGACGCTGGAGGGAAGGCCATCTCAAGTCGTACCTAAGCTTCAGCAGGTTGTGTTAAAGACTTAGGGGCATCCCTTTCTGTTCTTTCTGTGGCTTCTATGTCTATAAACCATTGAACACAGCCAGTTGGAAGGATTGTTCAGCGTTAACTTTTCTTAATATTCTTTTTCTGCAGGAATGGTTTTCTGCTGTTCTTGCAAATTGGCAACTGTGGATACCATTTCAATTTCTGAACTTCTGTTTTGTCCCACAGCAATTTCAGGTTTGAATGAGCATCATGTGTCTATACGTTTGTGGTTGCTAGCATGTTACATGTCTTACATGGTTAGAGAACTTTGAAGTGTTGGTTTGAAAAAAGAAAACTTTGAAGTAGTAAAAGGGGAAAAGCTTTGCATTCCCTTCTTGCTTCGGACATCTGATACAAGGCCAGAAATGAGCTAAAATTGTGGCCAAATTGAGTTGTCTGGTGGTGAAGTGGTAGAGTGTTCCTACATTTATCTGCACAGCACGTGTTGGCCATATTTAGGTTTGGCACCATTACCATTCACCTCCGAAGCTGTTATAGAGAGTCAAGTTTGTGTTAAATTTTGCTATAATATTCATGTTGACAATCACTGTAACTTTTGCTAGCGATTTTGGCTACTGTGTTCCAATATCCATTCACGTAAAAACCATTTTCAGGTTCTTGCTGCTAATGTTATTGCTTTAGTCTGGAATGTGATTCTCTCATTCAAAGCTCACAAAGAGGTTCTCCCAAAATAGGTACGTTATTTTCTGAGAAACCACAAAACTTACCACGAAGATTGTTTTTCCTGTGCTTTCTATACCTAATTAATCACGGTGTTTTTTTATTGGGTTTGATATTATTTAAGTGTTTTAGAAGATGATTCTTTTAGGATTGCAAGATTGTTTAGATCCAATGGATTGCTAACTAGAGTTGCCTCGAGAGCCATAAGATCGGTATTCCCATGAGCAATCAGCATTTGATTCTGAACATTCTCCTACGATGCCTTCAGTGCAATAGGTCCTTCGTATCATGCTTTTAACCTCTAGCTCATGTAATAGAAATAATAGCAGGAAATTTGCATTTGAAAAGTTTGCAGTGTACAACACTTTTTTGTTTCTTTTTTTTTTTTTTTTTTGTTTAGAGGCTCTAACGTGGGATCTCTAAGAGAGGGAGGACAATGCCGGTTGAGCTACAAGCTCATTGGAAGCAAGCAACTTTACAAGTCTAGAATAGTGATGAGATATGTCAAGCTAGCTAAAAACTATAACTATGGATTGAGGAAGACTTTATATCCACTCATTGTTATGTATTCTAACGAGAGTACCTTCATTAAACCCCCAAGCTTGTTGTTTCTCAGGTGAAATGCACAGAAAAGAGTTGAATTTGAAGAAAACATCTGGGGTGCTACACATGTTGAAACAATTTTTACTTGGATCTGCATAACTCAAGATCCATGTCACATTGAACTGTTCAAGTGTATGGAACCTGGTTCACGAACCCTTTTGCCCTTACCTCTTGTGTATTTGTGATTCTCAAAAGTGTGGGTTAGAACCCTTCTCTTAGATTGAATGCTCGTTAGGTGCCAGCTCAATTTTCCTATGGATATCAAGTACAAGATTGAAAAAAACAGAAGGTTTCCTTGCTGCCAATTTAAGCCAAGTCCCAAATCATTCATGCCTTGTTCTTTCTTTTGTTCTTATATTTGTATGAAATGACCATTGTCCATTGGAGGATTAACCCTCCACAAATTACATGAGAATTGAAACTTCAGGTTTCCACCCTCCTTTCTTGAAGCGAGTAGCATTTGAGAGATTTCATGATTCTTGCCCGTGGTTATGAGGATAGGTATCAAATCTGGCCTGGCCTACCAGGCTAACTCGAGATCTAATCTGTATGGGCTTGGATTTTGAACCATTTAAGAAGACTCGGTCAAACCTAAGTGATTCAATAAGTTAATCATCGACTTATAAAAACCTATAAAGGCTTGGTTAAATTTTTTTTTTATTTTTGTTTAAAATAATAATATTTTAATTTTTTGAAAAATAACATTTTAGTATTTGAGGGGATTGCAAAGGTCAAACAAAAAGGGCCCAAGAGACGGCCCAAAAACTCAAGAGACCCGTAGGGGCTTCAATCATGCCAAATTTATACTGATAATCATAATAAAACGCGGTTTAAGCATAATTTTTAAACCCGGCCTGGTGGTTGACCCAGTCCAAGGCCCGGGTTCCGGGTTTTGACCGGGTCACCGGGTTTTGACCGGGTCGAACGGGTCGGCCGGGTCAATTTTTATTTTAAAAAAAATTCAAAACGACGTCGTTTTAATAAAAAATAAATAAAAGTCAACGGGTTACCATCGGGTTTTGCCGGGTCGTCCGGGTTTCCGGGTCAACCCGCCGGGTCGGCCGGGTCATAGCTTACCTTATTTTTTCATCAACCCGGCCCGGTTCCAGCCCCGGGTCGGCCGGGTTCCGGGTCAACCCGCCGGGCCGGGGCGGGTTTTAAAACTATGGGTTTAAGTCTGGGTTGGGTGAATCAATCAACAGGTTAAAGAGTTAATCTAAGTTTATCAAGTAGTTTTAATATTTTTTTTAATACTAAAACAATGTCATTTTAAAAAAACTGAAATGGGTTGGAGTAGGCTCACCTAGGTCAGTGGAATGGTCCACTCACGTTGGGCTGTGGGCCTGTTTATCAACGCTGAGGCAAAAACCAGTTATGTGCCGTCTTCTATTCAAGAGTCCTCCTGCCTTCCCCAAATGTAAATTAATCAATATATATATATACATATAAGCACCTAGATTTATTGGCATTTTTTTTTTTTTAATTCTCATAAATAAAACTATGATCTATTAGTATGAATAAAAAAAATCATTGATTCCTGAGAAAAAAAATTTATGCTAAAATAAAATTATTTGAATAGTTTTACAATATAATTCAATGTGTTTTCTCATATATTAACACATATATCTTTTGATTAATTTATTATTATTATTATTATTATTATTATAACAATGTAGCTTCAAGATGATTTCTTTCTTCAAAAAATATCACCCTCAGCCCGACATTTCTAGTCAAAGACAAAAAAATTCAAGAAAACTACGTAAGAAAATGGATTCAGAAATTTAACATGTTATGGATTTTGATTTGTATGGTTATTAAAATTCATTTTCCTGATAAAAGACAAGCCTGTTTATTTTTGTATTTTAAAAGTGCTTCTAGAAGAATTAGAAAGTTTTTTTTTTTTATTTTAAATTAATTTTCTATACTTTAAAATTATAAAAATAAAAATAAAAATAACTGCGTTCAAATGTCCGATACGACTGTACTTTGGTGGGCAGAACATGTAATAAAAAGTGGATGACGAGATGCAAAGGGAAGCATGAGGTAAGTGATGAAGCCACAAATGTAAGGGAAAATGGAAAACAATAATAAAGTATGGTTATTTAACACTGCTGCAGATTGACAGAGACAGACCAAAGTCAACTGACACGTCAGTCGTTGGTGAACCCCTGATTCTCTCTCGAAAAGCGATCCATCCTCTTCGGTCAACAACTTCTCCCACTGGCCTGCTTGCTGCTGCTATTTCCTATTATCATGCTCTCCCTCTCTCTCTCTCTCTCTCTCTCTCTAATCTCTTCATTTCTTTACCTAAAGAGTGACAATGTAAGATTGATGGTTTAAAACCGGTAGTTTCACTATCAGATTTTAAATTTGATTTTTAATTCTTGTAAGTTTGAGTTTATTGGATTTGATAAAGCTCTATATTATTATTATTAATACGAAGATTTATGAAATTAATTCATATATATATAAATTGATTTAAATATCTATATTATTAATAATAAAAAAATAATTTTTTTTATTTGAGAAAATCTTATTTCTCAGAAAGCGTATTTTATAGGATCAGGTGAGCGAGTAAAATCTCGGTTATTCTAAATTCCTATAAAAAATATATGTCCTAAGTTAAATTTAAGATTTATTATGTAGATTTTAAGCTCTTTGTTATCATGTCACTTTTAGCTCTTTTTCAAAAAAAATAACAAATGATTCAGATTAAAGTATTAAATCCATTAATAAACTCTCAAACTCTAGCTTACGAGTTACATAAATTATTTTTATTAAAAAAAATTATTTTAATTTTTATATATATTTTTAAAATAATACGAGTATTAAATTGAGTATACATAATTAACTAGGTCATTAAAAATCATCAACCGAAATGATATCTTATTTGATTTAGCTAACAAATCTACTTAATGAATTTTCAAGTCTTTCAATTTTTGAGGTCATCTACTAAGTTTGTTTAGTTTTAACAACTATGATAGGTATTGTGTTTAAATATTTGTTTTTTCTTAATTTTATATTTGTATTTAAGTGTAGAGGAAGTATCAAATTGATGTTGAGAACATGTATTTAAGATTATTTTAAGAAATAATTAATATTGATAGATATATAAACTAACATGTCAAAAAAGAACTTTAAAATCATTTAAATAAGTGTTTAATATAAATTGATGTGTTAAATGAATCATATTTAATATATTCTACAAATTATTATGGTATTCCAGCCAAGTATATGCATAAACCGGTCGTGAAATTATTCCTAGTTAGTTCTAGAAGAAAGCATGTAAAGATTTGGAGCTGCAATGCAATGATTTTTGCATTAAACATCTACAAGTGTTATCGATCAAGGATTTTAATTCGTTACAAATTATAAAATATGAAAAAGATCCACATCAAGGAAGTCCCATCGAAGATTTGGGAGCTATGATCACCGTAATCTTTGATGAAAGATCAAAAATACAGATAGGATTCTCATAATCTTTAATGCAGCTCACCGTCGAGCCATACAGGCTCTATCCTCCGAACCTCTTCGCAGGTGCTGGTCAACAATAGCTGTCAGCCGCTGGATTCTCAAGGGATAATGATCAATCGGTGGACGACTATCCTAGAAGGTGCTGATGAGGACACGTGGGAGACACGGCTAAGAAAGTCAAAAAGTCTTTGATGTAGTGGGGAGGTAGAGGCAAGTCGTAGTCAGTCAAAGCAGAAAAGAACAAGATTGTACAATCAAGTACAGCCCTCCATTTCTGACCTTTTACTGTGTTATTATATTTGGTTTTGAGATAGCTCAGCATCCAAAGTAAATTTTCTTTCTTTGTTTTTCTTTTTTAATTTTGTCGATTGTTTTTTTAATATTCACAATCCTGGTTATATAAAAAAAAACAAAACAAAACTTGGATTAATCATTTGATTAAAGGATCATCCCACTGGATTTATAGCTCGAGTCTTAAACTAAGTTAATCCTCAAAATGAATTGTATTACTATAATTACGATTAGTAAATTAATGACTTTTTATATTTAAATAAAATCTCATTTTGTCTTTTTTATGTTCTACATCATGTAAGAGATTTAAATATTTTAGAACTTCCTAATAAGTTCCTTAAACCAGGTTTTACCATTTATTCTAGTTTTTTCTTAATTGATTATATTGATTGTTTCTACGATGGATCATGAGGGGTTGATGTGTTAATGTAAAGCATGTTCTCCTTGCAGGCTTGCTTGTTTTTTATAAGATTCTCAAACTTCATGCGACATTGGGAGAGTGAAATTTCACGGTTTTTTTTATTTTGTAACGAGTGGATTGCTTTAACCAAATTGCACGAGTACCGTAGACTTGAAGCTTGTGAAGAAAAATTGTATGCGAGGACAAGACCTAGATAGAAACACCCCAAAAACCCAGGCAGAGGACCGTTTCAATTTAATGGTTACAATAAGATGAATGCTAAAGACGCCATGAACACGAAAGATAAGAAAATTGTTCTTGCATCTTTCCATTTAATCACAGGATCATTCAGAGGAACAATCATACCAGGAAGAGCTAGCAATCCTGAGGCTGCTGGAAGGAAACCAGGGGATATGCATGCATGGAAATTTTCCAAGATTCAACAAGACTCAAGCCATCAGTCTTCGTTTTCATTGCAAGGAAAACTAGAAGATGTGAATGCCAGTTGAGCTAACCAATTTGCTCAGAAAACTGGTCTAGCAATCGTTGTTCTTCAACATTTTTTGTCGTGTTAGAATCGACAATAACACTAGGCTCGTGGAATTAGGTGGGAGGATCCTATCTAAACTCAATTCTAGAAATAGATCAAAGTAAACCCTTGAAAGTAATGTTCCATTCTAGTACAATAAACATGTTAATAAACATGTTAATTAAGGATATTGAAAAATGGGTTGGGTTCATTTTCTCACCATTATTTCTTGTCGGAACATGTGTTTAAGCAACTCGGCATGCATTGATGAAAAAATTCAACCAAATTTATTTTATAAAGAAAGAACTTCTAGGGAACTAAATCAAATTACTGGATCAAATTTATCAGTTTGATTTGATTTTATATTTTAAAAAGTATAATTTAATTCATAGACTTTTTGGTTATGCTGTTTTTTACAGGTTTTGATTTAATTAATTTTCTATTTATAATAGTTTCCTGGTTCGCTTTCGGCTTGTTGTTTTTCTTATTTATGAAATCAAAATCCAATGAAATTTATTTTTTAAGAAAAAATAAAATAAATTACTCAAAAATTTTGAAAAAATTATTTGATAAGATTAATTTTTGAGAAATTATTAATTTTAGATCAATTTTTATAAAATCTCAAAATAAATCGATTAATTTAACCACCCAAGCCAATACACGTTACTTTAGATGTCTAATTCCATTACAAAACAAGAAAAGAAAAGAAAATGACAATTATAATTGCTTCTCTCTTA